TGGTGGGCTCCAGGGATCATGTGGGATGTTGGGAATCGAACCTGGGTCAGTCATGTGCAAGGCAAGCATCCTACCCTCATGCCACCTCTCCACCTCCACCGCTCAACATTTTAAATAAGGGTCCGAAACAATCACATACTGTGTAGCAGTCACTTTGTAAAATATCCTCTAAGTAAACTCCATCCGCCCCCCCGCCCAAGAGATGCCTTATTTTCAAAGACGCAAATGGAACCCTCACAAACTTTCCCTTGCATTTGTCTCATCAAAGATTCTTGAGAACTTAATGCTTCCTCAAAAGTTCAAAAGTACTATAGAGCAGTGTTCCTTAATGGGGACCAAAGGCCTCCAGCATATTCTAAGAGGGATGCAGGTAAAAAAATATTGCATCAATGGTGGTGGAAGGGGGAGGGGAATAGCATGAGGCTGGAAGGCAAAGTGGTAGGATGGGGAGACACGAGAAGGAAAAAAGGTGCAGAAACACTGTTCTGGAGTGAGGATGCAGAAATTTAAGCTGTGGGTACAGAGTTAGGGAGAAATCAAGACAAGAAGAATGAAACATAAATAACCCAAACCGAGGTTTGGCATGGTCCTGGAAGATGTTGGAGTCTAGAGAGTAGGAGCTGCTTTTTTTTTTTTTCTGTTTGTTTTGTGGCTACCCCAGGTGGCGCTCAGGGCTTACTTCTAGCTCTGTGCTCAGGGAACACTCCTGGTGGGTTTGTGGGACTATATGGGGTGTTGGGTTGGCCATGTGTCTTATTCACTGTACAATAACTCTGAGAGAGATAGAAAAAGAGAGAGGACAAAGAAAGAGAGAGGGAGGGAGGGAAGAAAGGAAAGGAGAGAGAGGACAGATAAAGACAGAAAGAAGAGAGAGAGAGAGAGAGAGAGAGAGAGAGAGAGAGAGAGAGAGAGAGCCCTCGACAGCAGGCACTTTCTAAGATAGCTACTGTCGGATGTTTCTTTAATGTAGAACATCCTGAATGGCTCTGCCAACTGTGCAGGCTGGGATTCTATGCATCACCTAATTACAGAGAACGTAGGGACTACGATCTCCCCATCCACATCTTCCTTGATAACATCCACAGTCATGGTCCTGTCCCACCCCATCCCAGTAAGCCTCTGCTTTCTGAGGTCTTTCCTTTGCCTACGGAAACTTATACTTGAATCAGCTACTGTCCCCATCAATTGCTCAGAATTTGGTATCTATCAGGTCTGAAGATCCCTTTCCCTATCTACAACACAGAATCTTGGTTTCGTCTTTTCGTGGGACTTACTACCGGGTCCTCGCTCAGGGACCACTCCTGGCAGCATGAGGGGGGACAGTATGTGGTGGCAGGGCAAGTGCTCCACCTGGATTCCTATCACTCCAGTCTGGGGATCTATTTTGGGGGGGGTTGCTGGTTTCCCCACTGCCATCCTTCTTGGGAAGTGACTATGACTCCTGCCTTCCCAGAGGAAAAACAGACACACCACACACAGGATACTCAGAGCCCTGGTGGGGACTCGGGACTCACGTCCACTCCCCCGTCTGCTTCTTTTCAGCGGGACCCTTCCCAGGGTTTCTGCCCCTTACTTCCAGCCCCAGGCAGCACCCCTTCACTATCTCGCCACTCTCGAATTTAATCTGTATCCTCCCGCCTCATTCAAGGGACACCTTTGCCTTTCACAGACTCATCATCCCCGCCTGCCCCCAGCTGGGTTGTTTCCTGGAATTTCTAATGGTCGCGGGCAACAGCACACTTCATTCTTTCCGTGTTCCTCTGTGGGTCCCAGGGGCCTGGTGCATTATTGTCCAAAACGAGAAGGCAGACAGCACTGCTGAGATGATAATGGAATCCTCCTGAGCTCCTTTCTCTTCTTCCCCTTTGGGTCCAAACTATTGCCCTGTCCTGTAGCTTTAGGCTCTAACCTGCCCCTGAATTTGGGACCTTCTCAGCTCAGTGCCTGGTGCAAATTCTGGCCCTGTGGGACACGCTGGGGGCTGCTTCCTGGTGCCCGCCTCTTCCCACATAGACTCGCTGATCTTTCCCCAGATGGAAAGCAGAGTGGACAGTGGATGAACCAGCAGGGAGTATCTGCTGTCCTTCCACATATCAATCTCACCCTAGGCAACTGTTTCTCCTTCCACTGGACTGGCTCCCCTTCCTTTCTCTACTTTCAGCAGTGCTCAGGGCTTACTCCTGGCTCTGTGCTCAGGGATCACTATTTTTTTCTTTTTTTAATTTATTTTTTATTAGCGAAACAACATGAGGTACAGTTGTAGACTTACAATTTTTTGTGATTGGGTTTCAGTTATACAATGATCGAGTACCCATCCCTCCACCAGTGCCCATTCTGCACCACCACTGATCCCAGTATCCCTCCCACCTCCCAACTGCCCCGCCTCAGCTGGGGAGCATAAAGTAACAAAATAGAAGACTAACACCCAAGAATAGCTGAGATAAGTACCAGGAGGCTTACTTCATGGCTTGGAGGCCAGCCGCACATGTTAGGGGAAAAGGCAGTTCAGATAGAGAAGGTAGCACAAATAAAGGGTGTTGGGAGGATCCTCCCAGGATGGGAGGTGCATGCTGAAAGTAGACTACAGACCTAACATGATTGCCACTCAATGCCTCTTTTGCAAACCACAGCACCCAAAAGGAGAGAGAGAACAAAGGGGAATTCTCTGCCTCAGGGATCACTATTGACAGGACCAGGAGATCATATATGGTGCCAGGGATTGAACCTGGTAGGCCATGTGCAAGGCAAATGATTCATCGGCTGTACTACGGCACCGGCCCCAATAATCCATTTTTTGTCTCAAAATTCAGCTCATGATACCTCTGTCATTCCATATTCACACGAAAAAATTCAGTCATCTCATTAGATCAACAACAAGATGCTTGGAGGCAATCTCAGCACCAGGTAGAGTGAGAGTGTTTAAGACACCCCAGGAGAGAGACAGGAAGTCTCTCCTCATCTGGTGTTGGGTCAGAGTGTGGGTATAGATGTGGCAGCAAAACATACTCTACTCTGAGAAGAAAAGGGGACTCGGGGAAGGCCATGAGCCCTGCAGAAGCGAGCAGAGGGCTGAGGGCTGCAGCAGCGCTGTGGGAACGGGTGCGGATTCCAAAGGAATGGCAGTGACTGTGTAAATAACAGCACGTGTGCGGTGCTGGGGGGGGGGGTGCACCTGGAGTCCCCAGTAGGAAACAAGACAGAAAAGCAGATAGGGAGTTACATGTGGGTTGTGCAAGCTGGTAGGGATCCAGGGGCTGTCATGGTGGCCAGACCTGCCCAGAACTCTCCTTCCTTTTCCACATCCCTGCCTCAGTCACAGCTGCTCTCTGCCTGAGGTTGTGGCTGTTCCAGGAGAACATCTTTCCAACAATGTCTTTAAAATTTGCTTTTTTCAAAAAAATTAAACAACGGTTACTTACAAAGTTACTGATAACTGAGTTTTAGGCATATGATATCTCAACGCCAACCCCACTGACATGAACCGCCATATGACCCAACAATTATACCCTTGGGCATCTGCTCCTGGGGCATAAAAACACTCTCTCAAAAAAGACATATGCACACTGTTATTCACTGGTGCATTAGAGTATCAGGGAAGCTTTGGGATCAACTCACTGAGAATAGTGATGATGTGAGGGGCCAGAAGCAAAGGAAGAGGAGTCGAAATTACTTTCCCTGAGAAAGGGAAGCGCTTCAGACGGCTGCTCCAGACCCAGGAAAGAAAGATGCCACTGAGGCCTTTGCAGAGGCATGATAGGTGCGGAGCTGTTTTGGGGGCAGTTCTGATTTCTGTTGGTTTGGTGGTGAAGGTGAGACATGCTGTGGGAAAATTCACTAATTTGGCACACTGAGCATGCCCTCAGAGAAGGGTTCTCAGTTAGGAATTCTCTTGAACTACCAGAAATAGCTGGCAAATTTCCTCAATTCTCTTGTCAGCACCTTCAGGGAGACAATGTTCTGCTCCACGGGGAGGGAAATGTGGGTAGGGTGGGGTTTTAGACACTGTGAGAGGAAAAGGAGAGATCAGCTCCAAACCTCCAATCCAACATGGCTCCTCTGTGTGCACTTAGTAGGAGGCAGGAAAGAAGGCATTAACTGAGGTTTTGTTCCGATTATTTCTGTAAGGTGCCAGAGAGATAGTACAGTGGGTAGGGCACAGCCTTGTGTGTGGCTGACCCTGGATTAATCCTCAGCACCACATATGGTCCCTTGTTTCCCAATGGAACACAGAGCCAGCAGAGCAAAACAAAATACTAACACAAGATGATTTCAGTAAGTGCGCAAGAAACACTCAGACTAATTTAACTCCACCTCTAATCTTGCCCTCAGAACAACTCAGTATGACAAGTGAAAAAACAACAACAACAAAAACCTTTAGCAGAAGGGCTATCAGCTCAAGAGTGCATTTCTTAAGAGAAAACTGATTTAAATCCAAAACATTTCTGTATCATTAGCATAAGGGCAGGAACTTACCTTTCCTGTATGAAAACCAATACTGTGAGGCATGTTTACTCGAACAATGTGCCCATTTGCCCTTCTGTTCAGCATCTCATGTCATGGTCTGATGTACTTTAAAAGACACAACTAAGGCTGACTGTGGTTTCTGCTGGATGAGTGAGCAGTGCTGATCTGCTCAGTCATATGATCTTGAGGCAATCCCAGGCCGACGACGGGCAGTGGCCCCAGAAGCACTAAGGACACAGAACATACAGAGGGGGAGTCCTCCCAGGGATGACTGTTGGGGACAGAGGCTGCAACTCCAGGGACCTTGAACTGATCTTGGTGGAGGCTCGCCCTCTGCCTCAGCGAGCCCAGATCCCATAGCAGGGGAGCAGAGGGGATGCTCAGAGAAGACTGGGAGAATGAGGGCAGGACCAACGGCCTCACCTCACTTCTGCAAGATCCTGGCTCTGTCTCCAAAGTGAATCTTATGTCTGATGTATTCAGAACCTCTGATGAAGGTTCGGTGGCTGGGTGCGCTTGAGAACAGTGCTACTCACCTCGTCCACTGTCCAGCGGCCCACCTGGCTTGCCTGCACGTCAGCCACGCCAGGAAGCAGCTTGCAGTGCTGTTGCCTGCCAAGTGCAAGACCGCGAAAGGGGTTAGTCGACAGGGCGGACATGAAGATGGACCGGTGCAGCGTCTTCTGCGTGTGCTGGGTGGTGTATTCTGAAAGAGAGGCAGGACAGAGGTCCAGTGTCAGCAAATGATAGGAACAGGGAAAGAAAGGGACCCTGGTCTCTGGTCACCTGGTGTCACTGTCAGGAGGGGACATCAATCACGGCTGAGACCACTGCTCAGTTTCAAAACAATTACCCTGAGAAACAGATGCTATTATGGAAGGCCCGAAAGACTGCGGTTAGTTGCTCATCAAGTTCAAATAATCTCTTTGAGACATGGATGTCAGCGAAGCAATAGCTTGTCACTGCCTCTGGCTTCTCTCTCCCTAAATCTGGAGGCTGTGGGAGTCACCAAGGATTTGCTCGCAGCACGGCGCGATTTCCAACTGGCAGCTGCTTCCTCCAGACACACTAAACCCAGGACCACATCTGGCTCCTCGGCTCCCCTGGGGCCACAGCTGCTCCTCATGTCCCAGTGAGAGGCAAAGACCTGGAGAACTCGCGCGGGTCCACACTTGCGGAGAAGTGTGCACACGGGGACAGTCACACAGTTACGGGGCAGTTCTCGAAGACCAGTGCCTGCTTGCTCGGGACCCACTGCCATCATCTGGGAGTCAGGGCTCATGTCCACCGCCCACGTAACCCTCTTTTCATACTCATTTTTCATCTTTCAGAGTGACTTCATTCTCAGGTTATAGCCCAACAGGCAGATAGAGCTGAGACCTCAATTCCCTAATGACTTCCCTTTAAATCTACACACGAATAAATCTACAAACACATAGAGATTTCAGAGCAAACACATCCTGCTAATGACATTTTAAAAAGATACTTTCAATAACATTAGCAAAAATGAAGATGTGATTGAAAAAGGCTTTGAAAAGGCATTTTTAAGGTTTCTAAAAGTCTACCTTCCCTAATGCAAATGACAGGCTAAGTAAGCAGTAGCCACCTAATTGGAAATCTGGAATGATGGTTTGTATTTTACTAATGGAGTCTGAAAGGCTATTATGCAAATATTTCCACCTCAAATTCATTCCCGTTTCCAGCAGGTGAGGCCGAGCTGCGCACGTCACAGTCACATACCTGTTAGGAATCAGAGCGATTCTAACGATAAAGAAGTCCGTCCATCACCCACCCGGCTTCTCCTGGCACAGACATGCTACATATTTACCAGTGCTTGCTGTCGACACAGAAAGAGACAACAAAATTGCGGCCTGCTCCTAAATTCTTATGCTCCAATTGCAAGCGCAGCAAATTCATCTCTAAACGCTGATTGTCCAACACTGACCTTTTTAGTATGTAAATAGGTTATCTCGCTCCGTGTAGTTCAACCCAGGGTTTGTAAGGCGGCTAGTTCTGGAGGGAAGCTTCACCTTTCCTTTGAAAAGCCAGAATGTTTACAAATGTGAATGTTCCTTAATGAAGCTGTCAGGTTGGACAAGGAGCATGTACAGAACAAGGCTTGGAAGCCCGGGGAGAGCCTGCAGTTACAGCAATGCAGAGATCGCAGAGCGCTTTCCTGGGGAAACAAGAGTTAAAGGGCTCAACTCTCAGGGATTAAGGCCCAAGAGAAAGCAGGTTTTGTCTGGAAATGAATCACTGCACCAATCAATCAGCTGTTTTGCTGGAATTGCAAGTACTTAAACACACACACACACACACACACACACACACACACACACACACACCTCAAATCATTGCCCTAGGTAAATCAGCATGTACTTTCCAAAAATATACAGGCTTCTGAAAAGACACAAGGAACGAGCCTTATGTTTTGGAAATATTAAGATGTTCAGTGACAGACACTAGATTCATGATGCACAAGTCAAGGCTGAAAACATTTGCAAAAAGCAAACACAAAACTATTGTGCTCCCAAGCAAGAACATTTTCCACCGTAATTCTAAAACTAAATTGCCGTGGGTGCTGAAGCATCCACTTGGAAAAACACCTACGTGTGATGGCCAGCACTGGCCAGTGCAGGACTCTGCTGGCTGGCCACAGTCGAAGCCAACTATGGTCTCTAGTAGATCTTTGGTCAGTTCATGTAGTATGAGGATCTTTCGGCAACAAACAAAGTTGACTCACTTGAGCGCAGGCTGTCTTGTGAACCCAGTTAACTGTGTCCCTATGAAACCAAACTATTTGTTGGAATGGAGGTAAAAGCTAGATTTCAGCAGGCTGAAACGTTAAGGGTCAATCGGTTCTATAAGCCAAAGTGAGTCCTCCCACAGGAAATTAGGAGAGGAGTTTGGACGCCTGTGATCACAGACCCCCGACCTGGCTTTGGGGCTGAATCTGTTCATCTGCAATCTTAGGCTTTTAGGCACCCCAGACAGAGTCAGTTTCATGCTGAGCATGGTCAGCATTTACACTACAGCAGCTTTCAGGATGCAAAACTCAAAACCTGAGTTTTCCTGTTCAAAAAGTATGTGTTAGGTTAAGGAAGGAGTCCTGGAATAGGAAAACTGATTGATCAGTTTCTTTCCCTCATACAGGACTGAAGTTGAGGACCCAGAATCTCCACACAGCCACACCCAAGCCTTTAACAGTACACGTGGGATGAGGAGATAGCATGGCTGAGCTGATTTCTGGGTTCCCTGTGCTTCATGGGATATAGCCTTGGAAACCCCTAGCCCAATTGGCATGGCTAAGGTTTACCCTGGAACCTTACCCAAGCAGCACTGTATCTCTGGAGTCTTGCATCAAACCACCAGCCAGATTATCTAAGAACAGATGGGGGTCCCTGAGCCTCCTAAGCATCATTTGGGAGGTCCCCTTTTCTACCCCCAAAATATCAGGTACTACCCTATACTCCAAGGTAAGTTTATCAAGGTCAAAATTTGATATGCTAGGAAAAGAAAGATTACAATAAACACAATCTAAGATTCTGCACAATAACCTGAAGGGTACCACAGTAGGAGAGATGTGGGCTCCTAAGGTCCCATTGAGAGAACGCTAGGAGCCCTGATACAGGGAGGTGGGAGAAAGGGATGCGTACCAAGTTGTCTTATTGTGAAGCTTGGTCCCCACAGAATTGCTGAGTAGACTTATATAAATTACTTAACCTCTGAGTAAAGAGAGGCTGTTAAAATCTCAGGGTTAGGATGAATGGAGACATTACTGGTGCCTGCTTGAGTAAATTGATGAACAAAGGGATGACAGTCATACAGTGATACAGTGAACCTTTGTGAATTAAAGGGTTGATTAACATTAAAGGTACTTTAAACCGGGGCGGGGGGGGGGGGTGACAGGAAGGATACTGGGGACACTAATCGTAGAAAATGTACACTGGTGCAGGGATGAGTGTTGGAACATTGTATGGCTGAAACCTGAACATGAAAAGCTTTGTAACTGTGTATTTCATGATGACCCCCCCAAAATAAAAGTGAATTAACTCTAGTGCTTATGCCCCACCGAGTACTGAGGATGAGAACAGCACCAGCAGCACAGCACACGTTCAATACAGGCTAGCTGCTGCATTACTCTTACAAAATGTAAAAGCAGCAGTTGGGAAAAGGGCTTGAAAAGCTGGAATGCAGGATTGGCAGATGGAGGTGCCAAGTTCAACCCTGGGGGGGGATCCTCTTAGCACTGTCAGGTGTTACACTGGTGACCGCGAGAAACAACGTGTCCAAGGTGCACTGCATAGTTGGACTCAATCATTGAACTGAGTATGGCCACAAGTGGTTTCTGGAACTCCTTAGTACTGTTTGGAACCTTATGCTCCCCAATCCCCCCAAGAAGTAAATAAATACAAATTTTAAATGGAAAGGCATTTTAGATTGCAATGTGGGGTGTGTGGATCCATAAATCTGCCAAGTACAGTAAGGCTATATTAGTATAAAATGTATTAAAAATGATTGTCTTCATATTTCACACCTAAGTGCTCCTGGAATGACAGCATAGTGATCACCAAAAGTCATCTACGAATGAGACTGAGCCCCACAGGACACTACCAAGGCAGGACACAAGAACATTCATCCCAGAAGATCAAAGCACAGCATTATTAATTTCCACACTTAGCTGAATCAGCCTAGGTGTCCAATGACAGGTGAGTGGATAACGAAGGTGCAGTATATATATACACATGGGATACAGCTGCAAGGAAGGATAAAGTAATGAAATTCACTGAAACTTGGATGGAACTTGGAGGAGATCCTGTTAAGTGAAGTAAGAGGAAGGACAAATACCAGATGATCCTACTTATCCGTGGTTTTTGAAATAGTAAGACAAAGGAAATCAATATATTAAAGGGGGAGACCTAGATTACCCTGGTCCCAAGATTATAGACCTGAGGATAGGAAGGAAAGAGACCAGGCAGATGGGAGGTTTTGGGGCTGGGCCTCAAACACATCAGTGGTGCAAAGCAGTGATCTGTATACCTGAAACCAATAAAGCCGAAAGCATGAGATCCAAACTACCACAAGCTCAACAATGTGCTTGTCAAGGAGGAAGGTTGGGGTGGGAGGGAAACTGGGCACACTGATGGAGGGAAGCTGACACTGGTGTTGGAAGACTATGCCTGAAGTGCAAACTATGAATAACTGTAAATTAAACTAATTTAATTTAATAAAAATTAAAAAGAAACTGTGATCTTCAGCAAACTTTAAAGCATATTGGGTGATCTGGATTATTCTAGATTCTGTGCATAAGTTTAGACTTTTGAAGATAGCCACTGTTATCTTCGCACATTTTTATCCAATGTGAACACTCTGATTTCCACTTTGTTAACTGAGTCCAGTGTTGTTCGTCCTATCTGCTATTTCCAAACAACTTCTAATAAGGAGCAAAAGTCTATGGTGAAGTGGTACACTATCCAATGAAACCATTTTCCTTAAATCAAAAGCATTGCATGAGGCTATTTTGGGGGCACTTGGAATAAACTTCTTGATTAGAAGGATGTCTGCTATGAGCAGGCAGCAGAAAGGGTCCTCCATACTGAGCAATGCAGGTGCTTCATGGGCAGGCCCAGCACCCCTGCCTGTGCCCACCAACATAGCTGAGGGGTTTGATTGCTTCCTCTAACACTACCTTCCGACAGCAATGGT